GTGACTGTGTTTAAAATCTCTACCTTTATCCTTACTTTCCAAAATGTAGCCTAATACGTTAATGTATTAAATGTATCTTAGTGTTCATATCTTACATAAATAGTTTAAAATGTGCATACTGTCAGGTGGATTTAGTGGGGGGCAGGGAGGATGTACAGTTCTATGAGTTAAAACATGCTGATAGATACATGGAGCTACCACCTCCCCATCATGATAGAGCACCTCACACCTCAAACTGCCCTCTTCCTGTTTCTTAAGGAGCCCTGGTGGCATCGTGGTCGCTCATTGGGCTGCTTACTGCAAGGTCAAAGCCACCAGTGGTTCTGCGGGAGAAAGACAGGGCTTCTACTCCCATTAACAGTTATAGTCTGAAACTCACCAGAGCAAGTCTGCCCTGCCTTACAGGGCCGTGAGGAGTCGGCCTCAACTCGATGGCAGTGAGTTTGTTTTTAGGAGTTGCTGGCTCTTTGGTCATCCCCTGTCTCCCCCATCCCCTGGTCCCCACTGTGGACATATAATTTTAATTTCCTGAATTGTCCTGTGCTATTACTGTATCTTTCCTATTTTTTTAACTCGGCATTGTGTTTTTAATATATTACATATAGCTAACCTCCTGCCCAGAGGCCTATGACATAACAAAGTGTCTATGAGAAAAGTACTATGATTACAGCCTATATTTATTTTATAGATGAGGAAAATGAGTGTTAGGTAACTGGCTTGATGTCGCGGCATGTTAGGAGGCAGAGGGAGCTCGGTTCTTTCTGACTTCACGGGCATTTCGTTTGTCTGTATTTAACGAATCCTGTCCATTTCGTCCCAAGGTCATTTCTGCTGCATGCACATTTTTCTCAGCACCCCCTTGAAGCCCACCCTCTACTTGTCACCCTTTCTTTCTTTGTTACGTTCCACTCTTTGACTTCAAATCTATATACCTGCATGCCTTACTTATCTTAGCATCCCCACAGCATCTTCGGGATGCCTGATACGTAATACATTCTCATGTAGGCTGAATTTACAGAAGAGTGATTCAGTGAGTGTCTAGTAGCCTTGTAATGCAACCCAGAGGCTGGAGGATCCATAAAAATGCAGAGGAAGGAAATCACATGCGAGGGATTGTGAAGGAAGATGCCCTATGGCATGACTCAGAGGCTGAGGGCAGGGGTAGGGGTGAGAAGGCTCTTGACAGCCACAATCAGCCCTTTCATTTCAGAAGACTTTTGTTCAATGCCGGAGCAATCCCAGCCAGCTGGGCATCTCAGCTCGGTTACTGCAAGGATACCTGGAGCCTCTGAGCCTTTTCCAGAACTTCACAGGAGACATTGAGTCTGGAGTCAGCTGCCACAGGACAAGCTGATGCATAAGGAGATGAAGCTTTGCCTTGTTGTACACGGGCCTGTGGTTATGTGTGAGCTCATTGCTGCAGCGATTGTGTCGATCTCTGTCTTTGAGAGTTTCCATGATTTCCTTTGATTCTCTGCCAAGCCCATTGCTCCTTTTAGCAATTGGTCTCAGCTGATGAAATCCACAGTAGAGGCGTAACATTCCGATTGTGTGTTCGGCTTGGTTTTAGACTGATTGGTTCATTCTTCTAGCAGCCCATGGTAGAGGCACTACTCTCCACAGTGCAAACACATTCATTCCTCTGTGGGCTTATCTTTTGGCTTCTTTTTATAGCTGCATAATATTCCACTCCCTGCATGTGCCACGCTTTCATAACCAGTCTCCACTCACAGAGCATTTCCAAGGCAGCAGTACATTTAGATCATTTCCTTTGTATAGCTATGGAGGAGATACATTTTTCAAAATGGGTCTACTGCAATGAAGGCGACTATTTGCAGTTAGTTAGTTAGTTTACTTGGTTATTTATTTATTTATTTGCAGTTAAATTGTGATCATGTCCAAATATTCCTCAAGAAAAACCATACCAATTTGTTTTCCCTCCAGCAATATGTAAACTTTCCAAGTTTCACACAGCCTCACCAATTTCTGTCATGCAAGTCCTCCAGAACAGCTGAATGAGAGCACTGGTTTCTGGTCTGCTCTGCTTCCCTTTCACCTCTCAGAGTGCTAAGACAGTATCTCCTGCAGACTCCGTACCCCTAAGCTCTTCTGCCGTGATTATGCGCATCCTGCCACCTCTTCATCTAAAAAAGAGGCATCTTTGTGTTTTGTTTTTTCTAAATTGGGAAGCCTGTTCTCTTCGTCCTAGCTCTCTGTAAGCTCCGTTTTAGGGCTGGAGTGAGTTCCAACACCAGTTCTTCTGAGTCCAAAGGGATGAGAAGGGTATCGTACTCTGTGACTGGCTGTCCCCAAGTGTGTCTGCTCTCTGCCCTCTGGAGATAGGGTTTTACACACCCAGGTTTCTCCAAGTCCATTCACCACCCTGCTCCTGGGCCGGTCTTACCAGCCTCCCCACAAGTTGCAGGCTGTCTCTTCCTGGTCATCTTTCTTCCTCTTTTCCCCCAATTCTTGTGGGTGTCCACCCCAAGGTTTGCCCGTACCTACAAAGCAGGTTAGGAGTCTTCTGCAGAGTATAAAGAGTTAACATATCCTGTTGCTATGGTGATCCATTGCCTAAAACACTCTCATTGAGAAGCCCACAGAACTCACTTCTCCTCTGTCACAGTTAACAACTGCGTAACAGAACCATTTAATTTGCAGTTTTCTTTGGCCATGCCACAAGAGGCCACGACGCTTACATAGGGGTCCAGGATGTGATTTTCTTCAAGAATATGTCAGTATGTTCCCAAAGGAGCTCAATTGCTATGATATCAGAGATTTTAACTCTCATCTTGTCAATGCATGCTGACTTTTCAAGGGAACAATACCTTTAGGACTTGATTTAAACTATTTCTAAGCCAAACCCTAAAGGGATTCATAACTGACTCTTCCACACTACCCAAGCCAGAGTTGTAGGTATTGTCTCAAGCTGCATTCTCTCGAAGAGCAAAACCAGTGATGCTTGAAAGTATGTATATAGACAGAGATTTCGCTCAAGGAAATGGCTCACCCAGTTGTAGAGGTGAGCAAGTTCCAAGTCCATGCATCAGGTGCCAGGCTTCTCCGGACTCACACAGCTGCAGGGGCTGATGAAATGAAGACAGGAGGTCACACGGCCTACTTCTGACTTCAGAAATGAATGCATACAAGTCGGCATGTAAGATGGCAGGTGACTGGTCACTCCCAGGGTGAGCAGGCAAGACAACAGGTCATGGGGCAAACCAAAGAACTGGAGGTGATGAAATGGCATGGGCGCCACACATCCGACTTCCTCTGCTTGAGGGAGATGGAGACTCCAACTCAACTTCTGCCCAAGGATTATTCTCATGAGACAGAGTTCACAAATACCTCCACTCTCCAACTTTTATCCTACACTGACCGACCATCCCTCCAAAGCACTCCTGCCCTACTAGGTCCAAGAATCTATTGCAGTGCCCACAAATAACTCACAGATAATACTCATATGTTGTAACAGGTTTCAACATATCAGGATCTGAAGCATTAAGGATAAAATTCTTTTGTGTTAAGTGTTTTATCTCAGCTATGTAGGCAGGTGTGTTTCTCTCTGGTCCTAATTCTCAGCCATGTGGCCCCTTGCCATCTTCCCTGCTCAGGCGAGAGTTACAAAGCTCCTTTAGCATTGATAAATACCCAAAGAGCACCCTACTGTGCAAACCTGCCTCCTGCTGGAAGACACTCAGCATTACTTGTTCGCTACTCTACTCGGTTCTCATGCCTTTTTTTCTTGATGGTTTTGAGAGTCTCTGTTTCTGCTTCTGAGAATGCTGTTTTATACCTAGCAGGATAGCACTACTGACCATCCCTCATTAAAGCCCTTTAAGCCCTATTTACATGCTCGTACCCAGTCCTTTTCCTAGAGAGTCCCAAAGACTGGGTAGAAAAGCCATGCCATGTAATTCCACTTCCCTGCAGGAGGGCAGATGATGAGCCATATGGATCCATATCACCAGCAAAAAGCAAGCTTCTCTAGAATGTCTGCATATCGGGAGCAGCCACCCGCACTCCAGCAGAAATAGCCTCTTGACTCATTGGCTGCTCACAGCAGATCTCAACATGGAAGTGACTACATTATATCAGATTTCATCGTGTTGTTGTTGTTGTTGTTGTTAGGTGTCATTGAGTGGACTCTGATCCATAATGACCCTGGCATTAATCCTTAGTGTAGTGGTCTCATGTGCTATTTGTCTGTTGTGATGGACTAACACCGCTCAGCATAATGTTCTCCAAGTCCATCCACGTCGTGAGATGCTTTGCGGTTCCATCCTTGTTTTTCAGTGAGGCACAGTATTCCACTGTGTGGATGTGCCAACGTCTCTCTATCCGTTCTTCCACTGATGGGCTTTGGGGTAGTTTCTAACTTCTTGCTCTGATGAACAGTGCTGCCATGAACATGGGAGTGCCTATTCTAGACTGTAAATCTTTGTGAGACTAGAAAGTCTCATCTTGCTCCCAGGGAATGATTTGTGGTTTTCAGTCCCTAGACCCACTGCATCAGATCTCCCACCTTTCTTCAATAATGTCCCTGGGCAGGCTCAGACCAAGCTTCCAGTAGCAGCCCAGTGCTTGAACTTCCTGTAGCAACCCCCAGGGACTACCACCGAGGGAAACAGCCCCAGAGAGGGGTTAGACTATGGGAATCCTGAGTAAACAGCTCACGGTTTGGGCATTTGGGTGCTTGTAGACCCTGAAGGACTCCTAGTCATGTTGGTTCCCCCATCCGCTGGAGGAGGGACTCAGTGGCCCCGAGTGGCATGGCTTAGAAAGAACAGCTCCCTTTGGGGTGCAGCTGACTCTTCTCTGAGCCCTCACCTGGGGGAGCACCCTGTGGCCCAGGGAGAAAGCCAGCTTGGTGGTGATTCTACCCTGGCACCTTTCCATACCAGCCCAACTCCCAGCTGCTCTTAGATCCATCTGGGTTCTGCCATTCTCTGCTAGATGCTTGGCTCATTCAGATCCCTCCTTGCCCCCCTCTGTTTCAGCCCGAGAGAAAGTTTGGTGTGGTGGTGGTTGGCGTCGGCAGAGCCGGTTCAGTGCGGATGAGGGACTTGCGGGACTCACATGCTTCCTCGGCGTTCCTGAACCTGATTGGCTTCGTGTCCAGGTGCCTCAAACTGCTTTCTGCCTCATAATTCATGGGAAGCCCAGTAGGACACGGGGATCCCTCAAGGGCCAGATGAGGGTAGGCAGGTCCAGCCTCGTTCCAGAGAATAGGACTGGGTGGGTCTGGGACTGTCGAGGGCCAGGCCAGAGGCCGGGGTGTGCACAGCCCTGCTAGTCTGTGAAGGCAGAGGTGGGGAGGATGGGGGCAGGTCCCACACAGTGGGCATAGGAAGGATTGGCCTGAATGAGGCTTGTTACTGCATGCCGCATCAGTTGTCATAGCAACAGCCCTCTGCAGGGATATCACTCTAGCACCACCCATATTTGGCAGATGTACAGAAGCTACCCAAGTTACAGATGCGGACACAGCCATAGAGAGGCGAAGTAGCTTGCCCCGGCCCCGCAGGTGGAAGGGTTAAAAGCTTTCCTTTACCTTGACATTTTTACGCTCTACTTTTCCCCCCCAAGGAATCATCTATGACTCAGTCCAAAGCAAGCTTTTCATTGTTGTTTCCTCTTCCTTGTCCTACTTTCTACTCCTACACACATGCACACACACACACACACACAGCCTCTGTAGCATACCTACACAACAACAACAGGTTGGCTACTTGTCAAATTTGGCGTGAGGGTGTGCATGCACACACACTCAGACACTGCTGAACGTGGCCCTGAGGCAAAGGCCAGTTTGGCCTCGATTTAGGTAGCAGAGCCAAACCAAATCACCAAAACAAAAAGGAAAAAAACCACCTCATTGCCATCCAGTCGATGCCACCTCATAGCAGAGCCAAATCAAAACCAAACTCGCTACCATCGGGTCAGTGCCGACTCATAGGAAACCCCCTGGGAGTGTGTTTCCAGGACTGTCACGGTGCACAGGAGTAGAAAGCCCAGTCTTTCTCCTGAGGAGCTGGTGATTTCGAACTTCCAGCCCGGCAGATTGCAGCCCAGCTCATACCGACGACATTGCCAGGGCTCCTCCCCTGTGAAAATGTTGTTCAAGCTGCAGGGAGGCTCTGGAAGCAGCACCGTGGTTTACAGACCCACAGTGTAGCTGTACTGGACTTGCATGAAAAGCAAACAGCTCTCACTGCCCGTGGGTCTGTTCCAGTTCATGGGGACCCTATAGAACAGAGTAGAACTACCCCTGTGGGTTTTCTGAGGTGGGGAACCCCCCCCCTTTTTAAATCATTTTATTGGGAGCTCTTACAGATATTATAACAATCCATAATTCAATAGGATGAAGCATAATTGTGCAATTGGTGCCACCATCAGTTTCAAAACATGTTCTTTCTTCTTGAACTCTTTGACATCACCTCTCCTTTCTCCCCTCCCTCCGCACCCTTCCCCCCAGGAACCCTTATTATGTAGCCGTGTCATACACTGTCTGATGTATCCATTCACTTACAGAAGCTGTGGCTCTTTATGGGAATACTAAGCCTCATCTTTCTCCTGAGGAGTAAGCTGGCTGATAGATTCAAATAAGAGCCCAGTGCTTTAATCCACTAGGCCACCAGGGCTTCTGGGGTTTGAGTTACTGTCTGGACAAGTGTCTAAAGCTAGAAGCAATGGTAGAGAGCATTTCCCATAAGACAGAGATCTGTCCTTTTTATTTTATAGATGACGAAACTGAAAGCAAAATCAAACTGACTACCATCCGGTCAATGTTGGACCCATAGTGACCCCCTGTGGGTTTCTGAGACTATAGCTGTTTACAGGAGTAGAAAGCCCAGTCTTTCTTCCAAGTAGCTGGTGGTTTTGAACTGTCAGCCATTGTGATTTCAGCCCAACGTGTTACCACTACATCACCAGGGGTCCTGAAGAAACTCATACTCACTAACCGGGTCATACACCCTATTAGTGGTAGTGCCTAGTCTCCTGACTTCTGCCTATACCACAGTGGAAAATAACCCTGAAGGTGGGGAAGGGGCAGAGATTTATAATGGTTTTTATTTCCAAAAGTTGCTTATTAAGACATTGTTGGGCAAAAGGCAGAAGGCTGGTGTCATGTATTGTAAGCTCATCTTCTGCCTACTTTTTTTGTGTCGTGTTTCTGTTCATTCTCCAATAGACGAGAGCTTGGAAGCATTAATGGAGTCCCACAGATTTCTCTGGAAGATGCCCTTTCCAGTGAAGAGGTTGAGGTGGCCTTTGTCTGCAGTGAGAGTGCCAGCCACGAGGGCTACATCAGGTCTGTCTCAGTACTTGCGGGCCTCACTGCACCTAGCTGAGCAGGCCCCTGGAGACGCTGTGCAAGCCGAAGCTGCACACAGCTACCTCAGTCAGCGGGGTCTCAGAGATTTTAGATACAGACTTTTCAACTGAGGTTTTCCCCTGTTTTATTTTGGTATGCTATTGGGTTGGGGTTTTGGGGGATCGGGGGTTTGGTATGTTTTTCTTTCTGTGAAACCCAGGATAGGTAAATCTATGGAGACAGTAAGTGGATTAAGAGTGTCGGGGGAGGGCTGGGGGAAAGGGGGGCTAATAACAAGTCCGAGAAAGAAGAAAGCGTACAAAACTGGATTGTAGTGATGATTGCACGACTCTTTTCCATATGTTTAAACTATTGCGTCATATGTGAATTATGTGTCAATAAAACAGTTAAAAGTTTTTTTTAAGCTAAAGGAATTTTTCCCTGACTTTTGAAGCCCTCTCATATCATGGGGTCTACTTTAAATTCTTTCTAGAAAACCTTAGAAATGCTCTTACTTCCCATTAAAAATAGCCCAAATGTTAAAACTTTACCGTATATCCTCATGTATAAGTCGAGTTTTTCAGCACATTTTTTATGCAGTCTTTGTGGTAAAATTAGGTGCCGAGGCTGATATTCAGGTCAGCTTATACTAGCGTATATACGGTATTTGTTCTTGTGTTATTTGCTGACTCATGGCTGCCCAGTGCATAACAGGATGGGGCCCTGGTGAGCCATCATTTCCCTGTGATGGTTTTCAAAAGTAGATTACCAGGTCTTCTAGCCTCTCTTAATCTGGGAGCGCTGTCTAAACCTGTTCAGCATTCTAGAAACACCCAGGTGTTCACTGACAGAGGGGGGTGGCTGCACATGAGCTGTTTGGGTTGAAAATGGAATCCAGGTTTCTTATGTGGAGGGCGAGAATTCTCCCTGCAGACCTCCACGGCCCTTTAAGGTTTTTCAGTTCGGTGTCCCAGAAAGCACTGCAGACACTAAGCATTGAAGTGTTTCATTTCTGGATAAACACCTTGGAACAGTGCTTGCTTCCTTCTGGTCACATGGCTTGAGATGTTCTGTGCCTTGGCAAGAAAATGTCATTCCTTTCTAGGGATCTGCTTGCAACATTATATCTTCTGCAGTGGCAGCTTTGTAAAATTTCTCTGAGAGCTCCCTTACTGGGAAGGCTTTTTCAGCCACCAGATGAGCTAATGAGGAAGTGGTGGTAGAATGGAAAGGCGGAAATGGCATTGCCTGTGATCAGGGGGAAAAGGAAGAAGTGTCTCCCCACCCCACTCCCCACCCCCCAGAAGTGGGAGGAGGAGCCCCAGGCCATATGTAGCTGCTGACCCAGCAGTACCAGCTCCTTCCTTTAGCATAGCTGCTTTCCTTTCTTTGATTCTACTCTTAACCTGAGCTGCTAACCGCATGGTGAACAGTTCCAAACCACCAGCCACTCTGCAGGCAAAAGAGGAGGCTTTCTACTCCCATAAAGAGTTACGGTCTTGGAAACCCACACAGGCAATCCTACCCTATCCTGTAGAGTCACTGCGAGTTGCCATCAACACAATGCCAATGAGGTTTGGAGGTTGAGGCCCACTGTGTTACTCTAGCTCCAGTGGGGATGGACATTATTGGCTCTACTTGAAGTTCCTTAACCTTCTTGGCACCAGAACTTTTTTCCCCTCAAAAGAAAGGTGATCCCCTAACTCTCATGATTGTAAGTATTTGAACCATGTTATCTATATAATGGAGTTCTAGGTGAGGCGGGCAGTTAAAAGAAAAGCCTGGTGATTTTCTTCCAAAATATCAGCCATTGGAAACCTTATGACTCACTTAAAAAATAAAAAATAATGTTAAGTTGATACTCTTTGAGTACATCAACGTTTGCCAGGAGCTGAGCCTGTCATTGAAGTGCACACCCCTTCTACACTTTATTTGAAATCGTAGTGTGGGGAGGGAGTAAATGTCTCAACAGAGTTTGATGTATATTTCTATAGTATGGGAAATTATTTTTTAAATCATGCACCTTGCAGTTCTTAAATACAGTAAAGCTGGTCATCTATTCCAATAAAGAAGAAAGAAAGAAACCTCTGTGGAGTACAGCTCTAACTGTGGCACACACGGGGTTCCCTGAGTCAGAGTGAAGCCTGACTCTTTCTGGTTATTTGGCATTTGTTATCTGTAGAATAAAACCCAAAGTCCTGACCATAGTATTCTAGATGCTTCACTAGTCGGACTGCATCAACTTTTACAGCTTCACGCTCCGACTCCCTGTAGCTCACTCTCCTGCCATTCTGAAATTCACACTCTCTTCCAAAAGGGCAAAACCCCATAAGACACCTTTCAACCTGCTGTACCTAGAAAACCTCTATGCATACTTCAAAACCCAGTTCAGATATCCTTAGTGAAATATTCTTGCCTTTCTCCAGGGTAAGCTGGCTGCCCCAGTCTTTATTACAGCTCCATTTGGTATCATAATTTACCTCTTAATACATTCTGACTCATAATGCCCCTACAGGACAGTATAGAACTGCCCCATAGGGTTTCCATAACTATAAATGCCACACCACATCTTTTTCCTGCAGAACAGCGGGTGGGCTTGAACCCCAACCTTTCAGTTAGCAGTTGAGCACTCAGCCACTGCACCGTCAGCGCTCCTGAACTGGCCACTCACCCATCACTCATGGTCATTGAGTCAGTTCGAACTCATTGCATCCCTACAGGCCGGTTAGAACTGCCCCCACTGGGTTTCCGAGACCATAGCTCTTTGGGTGGGTGGGGTAGGGGGTAGAAAGCCTGGTAAACAGTTGAATAAAAGGAAAAACATAACTAGAAAGTCATTTTCATAGATGTAATAACACATAGAAATAGTTCCATATCATTTCCTTAACAAAGAAAACATAATGGGAGCGATTTCCTTGATAACCTTTGCCACCAAGATTCCTTCCTGAAATATTTGTACACAAACAGTGGGGGAGGGGGGCAGACTGTAAAACTCCTGGGTATTTGGAACAATCTGTTCAGTCATGCAAGGCATTTTAGTGAAGCTCATTTCAAGTGTCCTTGTCCTGTATTTTTTCTTTCCCAAAGGCAGTTCCTAAATGCTGGCAAGCATGTCCTTGTGGAATACCCCATGACGCTGTCTCGGGAGGCAGCGCAGGGACTGTGGGAGCTGGCTGAGGAGAAAGGTGATGTATGTTCCGTCTGCATGAAACATAGACACTCTCCTGTCTCCAGGGTTGCTTTGGTACCATCCTGTATCCCTTTAGAACGTAACCCCCATTTCAGATACGTTGCCCTGACTACACTGGACTTCTCTCCACATCCCCTTCCACCCTGTGCTCCAGGTACCAAGGGACTGTGTCTGGGGTGGCAAGGTGAAAGAGTGGGTAGGGATTTGCAAGTCTGTGTTCTGTTACTTTGATGCAACATATGAATTAGCTTCCAGTATGCTAGTGTCTTGATAGTATTCTGGTTCTGTTGATGTGATATTTGTATTACAGATGTAAAAAATGCTCAAATCAAAGTAACATCTTTTAGCCATGCACTGTAGTTTCTCAAGGGGAACAAGCATGTATTAAATACTGGCTACATTCCAGGAATTAGGAACCCTGCTAAGTACATCATGTACGTGATTTGTATAAACCTAGAAATCCTTGGTGGGAGATGTTTCCCTGTTGAGCTCTGAAGTGCAAACCTTTTCCACTAAGCCACACTGCCCTCCTGAGGCCTTCATGGTGTGTAATATCTGGCCAGCCCCTCTGTGAAGGCAACCGGGATGAATCAGAAAGGATGGGGATTGAAGAAGCTAATCAAATGAAGCTTACATCATAAACTCTCTTTCAGCGTTGGCTATTGAAAATCTTAACTATAGGAACAATGTATGTGAACAATCCTAATGAAAACACCAAAGAAAGTACCTTGTGCTCATCAACAGCACAGACTGATCACACTGCAGTCACTCGCCCTTCTCTTGACCATTGGGTTGTGGACAGGTCCACTTTTCTCATCTGTAATGCCAGTGACCGAGCAGTGCCAGAAATGCAAGCCGTTCTCCAGTAGATGGTTGTTGAGTGAAAACATCGATGAATAGATGCAGAAGTTTGGGGAACTTTAAAGTCCTCATCTTTGTGCAAGGGCAAGTCAAAATTATGGCTGCAGAATCACAGAGAGACATTTGCTAACTTCAAGGTCAGCAGTTCTAAACCACTGGCCACTCTTTGGGAGAAAGACACAATGTTCTACTATAAAGATGGTGCC